CTCTGTACGGGTTCGGTAAATTTGACTGATCTCGTAACCACCATAAAAAAATTAGGAAATATACATAAGTTATGCCTCTTTCATTGTAGAATTAACACAAATTATAACATGAAAACATAAATGTTTAGACTAAATAGCTTAAATCTCATAACATTATACATTTATATATATCATTTTTATTATATTGACCTTTCAGCCGTGTCTGGCTAGCAATACAGAAGTTACAATGATGCAGCTCACATGCACTCATGTTACCATATCAAATAACATAAAACTGACCTTTGGTCTGTACAAAGTAACTTGGCTTTGGTTTACTAAACTAGTATTTTGTAAAATACAATCACATTCCAATTAATACACATTATATTTGTATATAGATTATTATTATTTAGAAATAAGTTCTTGAACTTATTTCTATTAAAACATAGAACAGTAATTAAAGAAGTAAAGCAAACAATTATCTCTTCTAGTTACGGCCTTTGTACTTGGTTGCTGCTTGACATAGGTTGTTAGGCCTTTAAAAAATTTGCATGTGGAGGATATGAAGTAAAATATTTTTTTAGGTTTTATATATACATTTGAATAACTAAAAAATCATAAATTACTACATGAATACCATAAAATTCTACTATAATTTATCTAGCTTAGTAACTAAGCTTTATTTGGGTCTAAAAAATATGAAATTTCAAACAAACTAAAGACACATCCTATCTTGTTGAAATATTGGTTCAAAAGAAAGAAATGGTGCAAAGCCCGCTAAAATGGCTGAGAAAACCACTAGGGGGACATTCCGAGCTTCCAATTGGTTATTCATGTCATATATAGAAGTGTATATAAGGGAGCGTTTCCATAAATGGAAAGAAGTGAGCAGGGATGGAGGGTGCCTCTGTGTTTGATTTATTACATGAGCAATATCTTAGCAAATTGAAAATATAAAACACTCTTTATTTTATATTATAGCTTGTCAATATTGGTAATTTGAGTTTCTCATTTGTACAAAACTACAGACTTAGTATTTTGACTTCACAAACATCTAATATGAATCAGTGCTGCATTCAACATACCATGTGACACACAAAAATCAATGTTTATCTGTGTTATTTTAATATTTGCTTTTAAATTAAGAAAATGAGTAATATATATATTACTAACATTTGAATTATAATCTACAGTTTGATACCAAAGTTATTGAAATAAATTTATTAAATAGTAGTTCAATAAAATTTTGAATGTAATTTAACAAACGAGATGACATGGCCTTTCACCCGTGATCTGTCTCAAAATGGACTTTCTTCACCTGTCTGATGACAATATTCTGATCTAACAAAGCATGTCTTCTGATGAATCAGGTGATCTATTCTACCAGGATAAAATGTCATCCTCAAACAAGTTTTAAAACAGATGGAGGAAATCTGCTAAAACCTCTCGGATAAATTTCATGTTTATTCTAATTTTTACTGGATGAAACAATAATTTTGGTGCAGGTTAGAAAAAAATCCTGTGTATTATCATTTTTCATAAATCTTTTTCTTATACTGTTTTCCTTTCAAAACATTTATCAAGATTTTGTAATTTTGCATTTAAGTATCCTGAAATAATATCATAACAAATTTCAAAGAAAGTTAACAAACTTAATCGTTTCATTACTGTTCTACACTTTATAAATACTTCTATTGCAGTTTACATCTTAACACTCTCTTTATATTTTTGTCACATATAATAACAATGGTAAATGTATACAGAAAGAATTATGCTCACATCATACCTCTTTCCAAGTACGCGTGGAGTTAGCCTTCCGAGCACTGTCTACAGCTCCCTGAAACTCCTTCAAATGAACAAGAGTAATGGCCAGCCTTGCAAAGTTGGACACATTGTTATACAAAAGTTTGGCAGATTCATACAGGCCATCATCAAAGCACCGGTCTCCAATCTGGAAACAAACCACATTGTGCAACAATAACTCAATCGAAAAGTTCAAAGTGACTTCTTCATATTCATAAAATACCTAATCATCAGTTACATGGTTATTTTGATCTCTGATTATTTAAACAATATTTCACTAACATGAAGGTTTAACATATCATTGCAGGTCTATTTTTCAATAAACAAATGTATTAAATCAATTTATTTTATTGTTCATCCATCAATAAAATACAACACTAATTGAATATATTCACTTTTAATTTTTGTTTCCTCTTCATTGTTTAGTGAATGGTAAAACATAGGTTTCTTCTATTAACTTTTCAGTAAGCAGTCAATTAGAACACAATTTTGTCTTATTCCTCAGTCAGCAATTAATTAAAACACAGTTTAACACACAATTGTTGGTTCTTTAATCTTCTGATAACAGTATATTAAAATTCACATCATACTTGCTGATGGAAAAATTTGTACATATTTGTTTAAAATAATTCTTCTGATATATATAATTGTTCATTATATTCTTAAACAATTACATTTTAGTAGATTTAAATACACTCTGTGCAAGTATACAGACAGTGTAAATACAATTTCAAATTATGTTATTTAGTAATGAACTGAAAATCCTACTTTTTGAATATCAGCATGGTTTGGACTGGAAATAAATTCTTCCAAGTCCGAGAGTCGGTTTGTCTTGGCATAGGCATAGATTAATTCAGATTCCACATCTGATTCCCGGGCTATTTTTCTAGCCATTTGAAGGAACCGGACCAAATCCTCCCAATTCTCTGTAGGGAAAGAAGAAAACTTTTAAGTTAAAAAATACATGGCAAAACAGTTAGAGGGTTAATATTTATATAAATGATATGCACCTGACACAAACGTGAGCTATGGCATCATGGTAAACATGCTTAGCACCCATACACACTGTGAATTTCCAACCATCCCACAGTATATCATAGTCCCAGGAAAGGTTATGCCAACTTTCCAAAAAGTTTTAGCTACAGTATCAAATCACACATTCAAACCTACATCACTTTTTTTATTCATTAGTTATACAAAATAAAACCAGTGATCATACAGTCCTCTTCTCCAACATATCTATGAAATTACAAGTGCACACCTATGATTATACAGACAGCAGAAATTGTTAAATTTCCCAGCTATGCAGATACATCTTGTCTGTGTATAAAAGTTAGCCACAAATTTCTAGCCTTTACTTTCATTTGGGGCTTATTGTTAGCTTAAATAGTTTGAAAATAGGGGATTATTTTCTTTGTCACAATTTATTTGCAGTAGAATATTCTTCCTTTTTTGCTTAAAATTTCATATAATGTTTCAAGGTACCTTGATAAAACTCGAGACTGAGTGGGACTTTTTCTAATCATTTAGTTATGGTTTTCTATTATTTGTAAGCCATTGAAAAGTAACAAGTTAACTGCATGAGTTCCCCTCCATGTTTATTTCACTTAAGTAACTATCTTGGCAGTAATTTTTGTTTTTATAAGAACTCATGAGTTTTGTAACTCGAGGTCATCATCAAGTTGATCAACAGGATCATATTTCACCCTTAGGAAAAGATAAGAGATATTACATCTTTTTGAACACATTATTTACTGATATCATTATAAAAGAAGAATGATATATTTTACTTTTCAAATAAAGTAGGATAAATACTATGTTAGTTTTAATACTTTAGACAATTTGTTATGCACCATTTCTTTCAATAAAGTGGATTAACACATACAATCATTAGGTCTACTACAGTATATGCATGAAAAATGGTTTCAGAGATAGTGTATAATGTTTTAGTAAACAGCTATGTTATTTGTAGTTTTATTGTATTATAAATGTTAAATTCACCAAAAAACAACAAATTTATATTTTAAAAAATTCCATAATTATCATGCCATGTGTTTAGAGTGTTCGTGTTTCAAATATGGTGACTTTTATGACTTAATATTTTTATTGATGCAAGGTTAAAGGTTTCATTACACTCACCACCTAGCTTTAGAGAGTTAAAAATATAAATGCTTTACTATCTAATAAACATGAAAATGAATTATTCTACATTAAGATTTTGATAGTTATATTTAACACATATATTATGACATATGATATTAAAAATCTAGGTTGTATAAATATAAATTACACAGATACATAGCATAGAACTAGTCCAAAACACACATTAAAAAAACTGTCAGTTTTACTTTAAACATTATAAAGAAAAAATTAGAAAATTTATCTAAAACTAAACATAAAAGTGGTCTGTTCATCTTCCCATTATGTAATGATTTCTAATATGCAGTGTTAAATAGATCATCTTGTATACAGAAATTTCAGATTCTAATAAATACTTATGAGTAGTCTAAGACTAAACATATTCCACATCCTGACCTGTTTTGTGGGCTGTCTGAACAACATCCATGTAGGATGATGGATCTCCTGCTTTGATGAAAGAGTCAATAGCTTCCTTCACAAGTCCCTGGTCTAATTGGGCCTTCGCTAGCTGACTCCACACTGCTGGCTCGTTGCACCTCTCAGCAAATTCATAAGCTCTGTCAAGGTTTTGGATGTGCTCAATAAGAACCTTATAAATTAAACAAGCAAAAAAATAAATACCAAATTTTCATAAATATTTCTTTAAAACAAACAGATAGCTAAAGTTATCTTATTTAAAATAATCAAAGTTAACATTTTCCTAAACTGAAAATGTATTTCCAATAATACTTACCTTCGGTGACACGATAGCTATTTCTCAATCTCCAGGGTTTCCACTCTTTGCTCATCTAAGCATTAAAAATGCTTGCTCCAGTCTTTTATATACCCCACTCGAAACCCTTGGCAAATTCTAATTTTCAAAATTCTCCACCAACTTCAATGCGCCTTTTATCTAGGTACTGTATATAAGCAACTCATTCAGATAACATAATCGCTTTTTTGAGACATAAACCGGCTTTTAGTTGGGGAGGTAAGGCAGGAGACCATCGGTGGAGGTAAGTATTATTGGAAATACATTTGCAGTTTATATATGCAGAAACATCTGTTAGCTGAGTTCTTGCACAGATCTTAAAATATAATGTTGATAAATGGAAACATTGGCACATGTAGATATGTATATCTTGAAAGTTGAATTGTTCAAAACTTGAAAATAGCATTGATAACTGGACCAATTGTTGGTTGAGATGTTG